ACTACCTAAACACATGATTCTCGCTAAATCCACTACTAAACACCATAAATAACCAAAACACACTGGAGTTCATATTATCTGTTCAGGAAGAAAACCCAGAATAATAGAACTGCCTCTGACCGTCACTGAGGGTCAGTGCCAGAGTCAGAGCATCAGCCTCACACCGACCCCCAAGCCGGTGCCGGCTGGTGAGCACCGAGATCCTATTATGCATCTTTTCTATCTAAAAGTGTCCTGATTCCTGAGATAATCTACAGTGTTTATTCCTTTTCATGATACTAGGCCTCTAGAGGCCGCACAAGGGATCTATTGTCGTGCCTGTGCACTACATATATGCTACCATGGCATCTGACGGGTGGTAAGCCCGCAATGAAATCCATTGAAATATCCGTCCAGATCATTTCGGGAATAGGCATGTTTTGCAGGACTCCTGTTTTGAGAGTGTTCTGTGGCGTTTGATGTTGGCAACCTGGAGAAGAGAGGACATATTCCTCGACTGAGGGGCGCATCCTAGGCTACCAAAAGGACCTGCCAAGGAACGTCACCGTTGTATTGACTCTATCATGACCTGCTAAAGCATGATCATGCATTTTGCGCAAAACGTCGGTGCAAATAGAGGCTGGAACGTAGAATCTACGAACACCACGCTTCGTTTGGAGATCGCCATCGATGGCGTAGTGCTTGACCCGTCACCCATTGTTGAGCTAAGCTAGCACAGCAGCCACATGAGCATCGAAGGAATAGGAAGATCGCAATTTGCAACGAGAATCATCACGGGCAAGTGCAGTTGCAGAACATTGTGCCAGACCTGTAGGGCGTCCAGAGGGTGCGTCAGCGACCGCGTTGGTGATACCCTTGATATACTGGACAGTGAAGTCGTACTGCGTGAGTCGGGCGAGCCACCTAACAACTCTTTCGTCATCGTAGTCTTGAAAACACTTTGTCCGGTGCGTTAGGGATTCATGATATTTTGGAGAGTAATGTGCCTGCCATACAGGTAATGTCGACATTTTTTTCATCCTACCCGACCACTTAGAGCTCCTTTTCCCGGGCCGGATACTTTTGCTCGCTCTCTGTGAGACGGTGAGACCGTGTGAGTATCAGGCAACTATTTGGTGCATTTTCGAGCCGTTAGCCTGCTGAGAGAGCATAAGCCGGACTGTGGTTTCGGTGGCATCGGCCGTGAAGAAAAAGGGTCTATCAAAATCAGGGAGCGCGAGTACTGGGGATGATGCCAGGTGTCTGATCAGGCGTCGGGTGGCTTCATCATCGTTCTCCGTCCAAATGAACTGTCTGTTCTTCTTAAGCAGGACAGTTAGACGGGCAGCGATGAGAGCGAATCCAGGAGTGAAATTGCGGTAGTATGAGGAGACCCGCAGGAACTTCTAAACGTCCGCCTGCGTGTATAGCGGTAGCGACGACCTCTGGATTGCGTCGATCTTAGCCAACTCTGGTTCAACCAACCGCTGCTGCAGAGACATAAAACACTGGGAAACTGATTGTTTCGGTGAAAAGTAGAGACCTCTGTGCTTTAACGAACCACTGCTTCTCATATAGCTGTTGCAGCGGGCGCCGGAGGTGCTGCAAGTGCTCCTGCACAATCCGGCTGAGCCCAAGCCCATCATCCATCTATATTACCATCCACCGCTCAGTGACTGGTCCCAAGACGTGGTGATTGACCTACCCCTGCAGTTCAGCAGGCGCATTCACGAGGCCAAATGGCATACAAGTTTACACTAGCTTGCGAGTGCCGGTGTGGGAAACCATCTTGTGCCTGTCCTCCGGAAGAATTGGGACCTGCAACAAATACCCCACCAAGGTGGAGTCAACGAACAGGCGCAACCTGCCGTTTTTGCTGTGGCTTCTGATATCAGATCCACTTCGCATCCCATATCGAGCAGAGTATGTAACTCATGCCTGCTTGTGCGTACTTCCACAAGCACCGAATTGACTCGAGGTGGATCTGCCGGTGAAGCCGTTATCTCGTGTGGCCCCATCACTGCGCCGCACGCTGCTTGCTTGCTCTGTTTGTTCCATTGGCAGCGCTGTTCGAGATTTGGTTTCAATTGTTCCGTAGCCTTCTCCTTTAGCGGGCAATCTCGAAATACCTGACATTGTTTATTGCAAAAGAATCGAACGCGCCGTTGTGCATATCCTTCTTGCTTTCTGGCTGTTGGATTCACTGCAGTCGGTTACCGCTTCTAGCCTCGTTTTTGGCTGATCTGGTGTTCACAGCACAATATCCATAGGGTCCAAATCAGTATCATTCCCAGATCCGTTTTCTTCCTTTTCGGCTAAGGCTGTGGAAGTCGCGCTTTTGCTTTCTTTTCCACGAAATAACTCCATCATGCCAACGACTCCCACTCTTTCACCCCTCATTTCCCTCTCCGCAGCCCAGCAGGTTAGCGGTGGCATCTCTCCGGAGGATAGCCCCGCTACAAACCAATTGTAGAGCAGCTGCGGCTCCACTATAGGGCTTCTGTAACGCTTGTTCTCTGGCCTTTATCTGAGAAGAGATGAGCCGCAATGAAGGCAAAGACTTAAAGCAAGAGTTTCCCAAAAGAAGCTGACCTCCTTCCCCGGTCCCTAGGCATCCTGGGCGTTGAGCTCAGGGCCTGGGTGTTGCGGGGAGGAGGCAGCCAGAAATGGAGTTGCAGCGCACCCCGCTGCGGCTGGTGGTGCAAGCCAGCACCACGCGTGCACGTAAGGAAGCTTCAGGGAAGCTTTCTTTGCTGCATGCTTTGCCTCTGAACGAACTTGTAGAACGGTTGCAAGCGCTTACACGCAGCATGCCAAAACCGTCGAAAGGCTCCTGCGCTAATTCTGCGCTAACTCATGTTACATCTGCCCCCCAATCAGCAAAAGGCGCACGTCCTCGTGCCCAGATTGTCATGTTGAGCTTGGTGGGCTGCGGCAGCTCCTGGCGCTGCTGCGGTTGCTGCTGTTCTCCTCACTGATGCCCGTCCCGTCAATGATACGAGGGGAATAGGGTAAAAAGTGGCCGTATACGGGTGCGAAATTGAGTCATGTAGAGGGAGAAGTGCCATCAGCGTGTCGGTCGCCGCATCTGACTCAAACGGTGACTCATGATGCGGCGTCCGCCCCGCTGCCACAACGGTGCCACGGCACCGGCTGAACCCGCTGGTTCGCAAGGGCAGTCCGCCTAAACCTAGGATATGCGGAAAAATAAGCACAAAAGAAGAAGAGTGGCCGAGCCTGCAGAGCAAAACTGCTGTGATGCCGGCCCAACCAGGTCCTCTGCACGTGGCTAGCCACCGGCGCGCTTGACGCCGCTCCAGGAGCCGCCGCCGAGTGTAAAAGTGCGAAACCAGCTGCTTCCGTTTTGCTTACGCGTCAGGTGGTCGATTTGGGGTTGCTGCCTCCCGTCTCCCCGGTCCTGGTCGGTGCCGACTGGGGCTCTCGGGAAAGCCCCAAGAAAATCCCAAATGTGGTGCCCAGCCCCAACAGGCAAGGGGACATCTAGTCGTCCGCGTCCCCCGCGACCTAGCACGCCGTGTGCGGGAGGGAAGATACGAGTAGGGAGGCAACGCAGTTAGCCTCCAGGGGCATCAGGGTAGAAAAATAGAAGAAGTTGCAGGAATCTAATATATATCAATAAGAACTGGCAGTCACTTTCATTATTCATACAAATCTCACTCACTTAACAACGAGCANATACAAATCTCACTCACTTAACAACGAGCACGGCATTGCTGCCGTGATTGTAGGGAGTATTCACTACAATGGGTGTGAGGCTGATGCTGTGGCTCTGGCACTGACTGTAGTGAACAGCTGGTCTTCGCTGTTACTACGTATGAACCCTAACCTATTCTGACTAGATGCACACACTGCATCTAGCTACCTAAGCACATGGTTCTCGCTGAACCCACTATTAACCACCATAAATAACCAAAATGCATTGGAGTTCATATTGTCTGCTCGAAAGGAAAACCCAGTACCTCTGCCATTCGCTGAGGGTCAGTGCCTGAGTCACAACACCAGCCTCACTCCGATCGCCAAAGCTGGTGCCAGCTGACGAGCACTCTGATCCTATTATGCATCTTTTCTATCTAAAAGTGTCCTAATTCCTGAGATATTCTACAGTGTTTATTCCTTTTCCTGATACTAGGCCTCTAAAGGCCACACAAGGGATCCCTTGTAGTGCCTGTGCACTACACGTTGATTAGGGGCTCGGACGTTTCCCTGCTTGCTCTGTTTGTTCGCTTGGCGACGCTGTTCGGGATTTGCTTTCAATCGTTCCCTAGCCTTTTTCATAAGCCGGAAATCTCGAAATACGTGACCCGGTTTACTGCAGAAGAAGCAAGTACGCCGTTCAGAGTCTCCGTCTTGCTTTCTGGGTGGTGAGTTCGCCGTCTGCTGACGCTAGCCGCCGCTACGCCGCTAGCCCCGTGTTTAGCTGGCTTGGTGTTCACAGCCCCAATATCCATTGGTTTCAAATCGGGATCATTCCCAGGCCCGCCTTCTTCCTTTTCGGCTAGGGT